CTTTTAAAATTGGTACTTATTTTGGCATATAATCTTCCTTCAAGTCCAAGAGCTATTAATAATATTAATTCTTTATTTATGCTGGCTTAGAAACAGTGAAATGAAACAGAAAAAAACACTTGGTGTTCAAGAAATTTTTATACATTTCAAAATATGATTCCTTTAAGTCCAAGATATATATGAAATACAAATTCTGGCATAAAAACAGTGGTAATGGAACAGATTGTGCGTCCAAGAGCTACTTCTTATGTAAACATGCCGATAGAAACACTGAAAATGGAACAGAAAATACAACACTGTTCCAACAATCAAGATTTGGCGTCCAACTAGCGCTTTTTGTGTTCTAAGAAAATAAATCTCTCATTTAAGCCCTGCATAATTCACATCTTTTGACCATTGACAAACTGGTAACAGAGCGCCTTAGACCCGGTTAATGACCTTCTCAGGCCCCACGAAAAAAAGGAGGAACTCCCCCACATGGGTCCAAGAAATTATGCACAAAGTAAAAGGCGCTCGAGTGCACAAATAAAAAAAAATATATATATATAAAGATGAAGCTGCAACTTGGACTGGGACCGGGATTCAGATGCAGATTCATTTTTCCTTCTCTCTAGACGATGAGAGGGAAGGTGACCCCTGCCCAATGCGTGGCATGTGGCATTGTCTTGTGACGCGGAGGAATACAACAACAAAAAAATGGGGGAAAACAATGGACTTGGGGAATGTCCCTTTAAACTCAAATCCTTAGCCATGTGATTATGTGGACCATGTGACGGTTGAGTGTAGTTGGCTTTTAACAAAATTACAAAACAGGGAAATGTAAACCCTTTTCTTTTACTTTATAACCATCCTAGTTGTGTCCCTATATTTTCCTATTCAAAATGCAGCTGATTTTCACTTAATATTCTACACTTTAAGTGCAACTTTAAGGAAACTCCCAGAGCAACATCAAAATCGAAGTCAACTTCAATGGGGGAAAACCTGAAGAAAAGGAAGCTTGTGTGCGAAAAAGTGAAAGCGAAGCTATTGACAAAATGTTCAAATGAAAACGACACTTTAGCATGCGCAGAATCCACAGTTTTTTGAAGTGAAAGAAGAGGAGAGAAAGGGAAATTGTGAGGCTAATGCCTGCTGCTATATAAAGTCAGACTAGACCTAAAAGATGCTAAATAAAATCATGAGTCAAAAGGGTGTGCTCAACACACACAACACACACACACACATTGGGATGTGTGTAAGTACCTGCAGCTTATCGGGGCAAATGGAGAATGAATAAAGTGGGGAGAGAGTTGCAACAGGGAGTAGGAAGTTTAATGGGGATGCACACATAGTGCCTGCTATTATCTACATACATATGTATATACCCAACAAGCCCAACTTCATCCTCATCATCATCATTAACATCATCATCATTATCATTATTTTTAGTGTCGTTAGTACGATATCTGAGGTATAAAAAAGTGCATGCCTTTATATTCTGACAACTTCCTTGTTCATTGGAAAGCTTACGATTCAGTAGTTCAAATATGTGGCATTAAAAACAGATTGTTGTTAAAGTTTTAAGCTGTTAAGGTACTCCAGAGATTTTTAATATATAAAAATTGATATGGAACATGTTGTTTCTCATTGTTATAAGAACTTAAATATGGGAAAGCATTAGGAACCTGAAAAAAGGTATTCTTAACATATCTTAATATAATATATAAATGATCTAATATAAGTATAATATAATATATATTATATTTTCAATATAAAAAACCCAACTTAAGAAAAACTAAAGAGATTACTTTACTTTACTTACTTTATTGTAAATAAAACACTTTGAAGTTCATAAAATGTATATGTTGGGTATAAAATTAGCTACATCTTTCAACTAACAATTACAAAACAAACATCAAACGTTGGAAATACATTCAAATATTTCGTTTCAAGTCATGAAAATATCTGTGGCCTTTATGTGTTTATATATATTTCGCACAGCTGATGGCAAAACAATTTCGAAATATGTTTTCTAATTACTTGTTCGCACTCGGGCCATAAATGGTGGGGAGGAACAGAAACAGGGACAGAAACAGAAACCTCGACAGACTGAGAAGGAGTCTCAGTGAATTGGCGACATATAAATGCGAAAATGTAAATATGATAAAAGAACATGCTATATACACTCTCTCTAGCCTGGGGGCAGACGCCTTGGGTTGATGTTGATGGTGATGGTGATGGTGATGGTGATGCTGTTGCACTTGCCGCTGCTTCTCTGCTGGCTCAGCATATAATTATCGCAATGCGTTTCTGTTTGTTGCTGTTTTGCCTTTGGTAGGGGTGCCGCCATTGTGGCAAAAAATAATAATAATAATAAAAAAGAAAACCGGGGGGTTATTCACTCAACAACCAACAAGTCCTTAAATCATAAAGGATTCCAATTTAAAAACAATTTTATTAATATTTATGCAAAAGTTGTATTGGTTAACTGGATTTCATAAGACAGGCAAGAAATTAAAGTTGATTGTGGTATAATTTAAAACAAAAAAAAAACCGAAAGTCTAACATGGCAGAATGCTTAAGGAAAGACTTAGTAGGCATATGTTGCTAGACAAAGTTGCCAGAAGCATGTGTTGCTCGGAAATGTTGTTAGACAATGTAGCTACTAAACAATGATGCTAGGAGCATGTGTTGCTAGACAATGTTGCAAGGCAAAGCTGCTAGACAATGATGCTAGAAGTATGTGTTGCTTTGTTATGTTGCTAGGCAATGCTGCTAGTCAATGTTGCTAAGAAGTGCTGCTAGGAAATGTTTCTAAGAAATGAAGCTAGGCAATATTAGTAGGCAAGGTTATTAAGTAAAGTTGCTAACAACATGTTGAGCAACATACGGGAACCTGATCATAACAACATGTGTTGCTCGACAAAGTTGCAAGGAGAATGTTGAAAAATATACATAAAATACCTTATAATAATAGGAAATATACAAACAAATCTCAAAATGTCAGGTTCCTAGCGATATTTCTATACAGATATTCCTAACAAAGTCACAAGTTTAAGGATATATCTCAAAGATGAAGCTTAAAACTCTTGTAATAAATATACCAATTAAAATACACCCATATCTTAAAGATATTATCTTCCCAACATATAGCCAATGGGTGCATGAACTGCAAGAGAGAGAAAGAGCATTGCAGGAGACAAAACTAAAGTTTACAAACTAAAAAATTAAAAAGCATAAAGGAAGTTAGTATAGCCACGCATTGTCGCATTTTAAAATTCGAATAAGTGGGTTGAAGCTAGTACAAACAGAAAGTTTATCCTGGAATCCGGAAGCCCAAGGGCTGCCTTCCTTCCCCTCCTAAACATGTGCGAAAAACACATGTAGGGAGCGAGGAGAACCTTAGAACCCCATCAGGGGTTGCCAGATACCATCGTTGGGGCGATAGGTAGGTGCTCCGTGTTCAGAATCAGGGGGAAAAATAGGAATATACACTTGCCCAGCGTGTTTCGAGTGGCTTGCTCCCTTGCTGACTCCAATGTAAGCACACACCCATCCTGTCGTCCTGTCGTCCTTCCGCCAGTTTCCCCAGCTTTGCCATTGTTTGTTATATCTGACTGTTGACAATGTCATGCGTTAGCGTTAGGGTTTCTTGATGTTTTCCCTTCTGAAGCTGGAAGCCCTTAATCCCCTTAATGCCTTCTTCTACGCTTCTCACCCTAACAGAGTTCACCTTTTTCCTGGGGACCTCAAGTGCACGCAGAGCTTTAAAATTCAAGGAGTAACTCGGTGGAATTGAGAAGAACGAGCTCAGAGAGAGAGAGAAGACAGCAGAAAGAAAGAGTCGATATGAGGCTGGGATCCATTCAATTTGTTGAGTTGCTAAATTTAGACGCTAATTTGGGGACCTGCTGTGCCATCGAGATCGTGTCTAGCTCGAAAGACTTGTCTCAGTTTACAAAGAGTGCCAGCGAAGAATTGAGAACTGAGAAGAATCAGAGAGAGAGAGAGTGAAAGAGAGAGGATGATGAGAGAAAAGAAAACATTAAAAAAAAAACAGGAAAGCAGGCTTCAGGATGAGGGATTCGAACTTAAGATACTCTTTACGCACAGGGATTTCTGATTAGCTTCAGGGTGAGAAAGAGAGAGAGAGAGAGAGAGAGAGATAGAGCAGAAAAGAGATAGAGAAAGTTAAGTAAAAAGAAAGCAAACAACAGGAAACAGGCTTCAGGACAAGATACTTTTTACACAAAATAATTTCTGCTTACCTTTACCTTTTTCAGTACTAAAAATCAATGAATACTTTTAATTTGATCGCAGCAGATACAACTTATATACCCCTAATCGCGTACAGGGTATTTGAAATAAAAACCAGAACCCGGCTGGGTCTTCTACTCAAATTACAAACTGAATTTCAAGCTGCTACCTTAAAGTATCCTTGGGGATATGCACTCAATACCTAGATTGGTGGCATTATAAAAGCCAACTTAATAACAGTTTCTGAATTATAATCTAGCTCGGCATTACCTGGAATTTTCATAGATTTTTTCAGGGATATAGCTCCAGTTATCAAGTAAAACTATACGATATATTTTCGGTTTAAGGGGGAGAAGAAGAGTCAAAGTCTGGCTTTGATTTAACCTTCCCAGCAGACTCATCAGCAACAGCTGCTGCTGCGCCTTCGGCATCCTCAGGTTCCGCGTCTCATTTACGGCCAAACTCATTTCTCGACCAGCTTGCGTGCTTTTTCAATTACCTCTCGGCCAGGTCTTTGAAGCGGGTCTGCAAAAGAAAAAAAATCAGAAGAACAACAAAAAATTGGTAACCCTTTTTGCTGTCCATTATAAGCCTTCGTAGTAAGGGATCCCCTGACTCTCGGCTGAATTAGCGGCAATTAATCACAGCGACATGTGGGATTGTGGCAAGGAATCTTGTTCCAGGAACTACAGTTTTTTTTTTATATATAGGTATTTATATATATTACTAACATTTATGTTTTATTTTCTATCATTTATTTACAGTTTATTGGCATTTTTTGCGACGCTGGAGCGGCCCCAACATGAGCCATGGAGAGCCTGGGCTTGGGCAGCAGGCGCAACAATGGCGGCAACTCTGCCGCCACGCCCACGGCTCCATCGACGGCCGGGGGCGGTGTGGGAAAGGTTTTGGTTCATTCAAAGCTGAAGACACAGCCGCAGCAGCAGCTTTCCAATCAGAACTATTACACGCAGCAGCAGACACAGCTGCAGCGCCTTAAGCAGCAGCAACAAAAGCTGCAGCAACAGCAGCAACAACAGCAGCAGCAGCAGCAACAACAGCAGCAGCAGCAACACCAGCAGCAGCAACAGCAGCAGCAACTGCAACAGCAACAACAACAGCAACAGCAGCAGCAGCAGCAGCAACTGCAACAGCAGCAACAGCAACAGCAGCAGCAACATTGCCTTCAGTTTCCGCCTTCGCCGGACTATCCCCCACCGCATACCGCAGCTGCTGGTTCACCGGTAAGCAGCTCCACCCAAAACCGAAGACAGCTACTGCCCCGCTATCCCGATCCCGATCCGGATGCCATCGAGGTATGCAATGATCCCAGGCAGGAGACCTCGCCGCATCATCTCAAGCAGCTGGCGGCGCGGCATAGCAAGAGTCTGGGCAGGCTGCAGAGCTCATTAGTGACCCATCAGCCGCATCATGACTACTCCTATGCCTACTATGAGCCCGGTGCCGCCATGAGGCACTCACCTGGCACAGGAGCAGCAGGAGCAGGAGGATCAGCAGCAGGGGCAATCTCTGCAGCATCTGTTCCAACGGTGGCCAGTAGCTCCTCTTGCTCTTCCACCGCAGAGACATCACCGCCGCCGCCAAACTCGATACGAGCTCTGCTCTCCAAGGGCAAGAAGAACAAGCAGCTCGTGAGTCCCGCCACCCTGCAATCCTACCAGACGCGCTACCACAAGTTGGCCACCACAAGAACGACACCTGGTCAGAGCGAGAACTTCTACGAGGAGATCAATGCAGCTGCTCTGCACACCACCAGCAGCAGTAGCATCGCCATTACCTCGTTGCAGGGCACAATGGGTTCCCAATCTGCAGGATCCTTGGGCCAGAGCCTGGTAGAGGAGGAACTGCGTCGAGTGCAGAGTCGCCATCACAAGATTCTAGGCGAACTGAATCTCAGTGTGGAGGCCATGCTAATGCCGGAAAGTCCACCCAAGTCATTGGTGGAGCAGCCGGCAGCAGGGACTGGAGCATCATCAGGACAACCAGAGCCAAGTGTGAGTGTAACGGCAGCCAGTGGACAGCCGCCAAGCATTCTGGCACGTCTCACCTCCGCCTCGGCGGATAATATCTGTGATAGGAGTGAAGGAGCAGGTGGAGCAGGAGGAGCAGGAGCAGGAGCAGGAAGAGGAGGAGTGGGAGCCCGAAGGGATCAACTGCTAGTCAGTGCCGATCTGGATAGCGGCTTCAGCGGCAGCAGCGGTGCCAGCTACATAGGAAGCCTGCGTCTCAGCAAATCCCAGCACATCAAGTGTGCCCGGCAAGCGCCCACGACGGTCACCCAAAGCTGTCGATCCTTCCAGCGAGCTGCCACCGTCTACGATGAGACGGGAATGGGTATCGGTTCGAGTGCGGGCTCGGGATCAGGATCGAGTAGCACCTGCGGAAGCAGCTTCCTGGCTCGCGCCTCCTGCGGCCGGCGAATCCTTAGCTGTGCCAAAATAAGGGCCGCCGAGGATCCGGGACCTAACCATCATCATCGAATCACTGGACATCAGACTATGCCGGCGGTGCAGGCCACAACCACAACGGGCACGGAGTCCAAGGCCAGGAGTTTTTGGAGTCGCAAAGGATGGCGAAAACTGCCAGGATTTTCAACCTCTACTTCTAGTATCAACGATGCGGGTCTAACGGGTGAGTGACCATATTTTGCTTTAAAAATATATAAAAAATTAGTCATTTTTATTTATATCTTATGCAAATATCATTATTAATGAGGGATATCATGAAGACATTTTAAAATTTTACAAAATTCAAATTACTTTTATCCGCAACACGCCCTCTGTTGTGTAATCTGCGAAGCTTGGTTTCTTTCATACGCCGCTAAGGGGCGGCAGTCTCTGACCGATAGAAGTATAAATATCCTCATGAATTAAGGCATAAATCCTCTGCTGTGATTTTTTCTTTTACATTTTTTTTGTGGAAAATTGTGTCTAAAAATATCCCTTCAAAAATTTTAATTAAAATTAGAACACTTACTCCATCTGTATTTCACTGCTATTATAGGGTTCTTGGCTTTTCCGATAGATGGAGCCACTTTATGTTGCAAGCACACTGTAAAATGTCAAGGACTTTTAAATAATATTGGGAAAAATATTAAAATGTATAAATATTTATACAAATAATTGTAACTATAAAAATTAAAAAATTATATTTAAAACTAGAAAAAAAAAACTAGGTTCGGGAAGCTGAAGTTTGTAATTAATTTATAGGATGGAATCGGAAAATTTTTTCTCTACTTTTATATGACCATTTTTTTGACAAATCAAAGTTAAAAAAAACTCATAACTATGCTAAAAATTCATCAATTTTAATTCGGAGACTGTTATTTTGTTAGTTTTTAATAAGTTAATAAAACTGCATACTCCATTTAATTTTTTAGAAAATTAAGATTTCGATCAAATTTTGTATTGAAATTTCAACGATGTAACCCCTAAAAATTTTTGAAAAAAAATCAAAATTTGTTTTTTCCTGTCAAAAATTTCTAGATCGATTCAGTTTTTGATGCTGATCAAGAATATATATGATTTATAGGGTCGAAAATGGCTCCTTCACTGCTTTTTAGTCTTCTGAACAAAATTACTATATAAATTTATAGCCGATATTTATCTATATTTTATAAGACAATTTGTACGGAAAATCAGAGCTTAAAAATCTCATAACTCACTCAAAAACTCATTAATTTTAATTCTGAAAGCTGTCCCATGTTAGTTTTTAATAGGTTAATAAATCTGCATACTCCATTTAAAATTTAAAAGAATTTACATTTTTATTATATATTTTGTTGAAATTTTAACGATGTAACCCCTTAAAATTTTTGAAAAAAATCAAAATTTGTTTTCTCCTGTCAAAGATTCCTAGATCGATTCAGTTTTTGATGCTGATCAAGAATATATATAATTTATAGGGTCGAAAATGAGTCCTTCACTGCTTTTTAGTCTTCTGAATAAAATTATTATATCAATTTTTAGCCGATATTTATCTATATTTTATAAGACAATTTGTACGGAAAATCAGAGCTTAAAAATCTCATAACTCACTCAAAAACTCATTAATTTTAATTCTGAAAGCTGTCCCATGTTAGTTTTTAATAGGTTAATAAATCTGCATACTCCATTTTTAATTTAAAAGAATTTACATTTTTATTATATTTTTTGTTGAAATTTTAACGATGTAACCCCTTAAAATTTTTGAAAAAAATCAAAATTTGTTTTCTCCTGTCAAAGATTCCTAGATCGATTCAGTTTTTGATGCTGATCAAGAATATATATGATTTATAGGGTCGAAAATGACTCCTTCACTGCTTTGTAAGGTATTGACTAAAATTATAATACCCTTAAGAGGGTATAAATATAGTCAAAACAAAAGTTCAAATTAACAAACCTTACGGCGTTACGTATCTTCATATTGTCATTACTTGAAGAGTTTTTGACACGTGGTTTATGTAAACACATTATTTCTAGCTTTTAGAAATGATAAAATACCATAGTAAAAATTAATTTTGATAAAGGAAAAGAGAGCAAAAATATTGAAATTAAAAAGAAAATAATGATTTATCTGGAAAATCGGTATATTTGTTATTATCAGAGGCTTCGCATGCGGAGCGCACATCAGTGAGCGGCGAACAAAACCCCAAAGAGGCATTTGAGTCTGGTCTTTGGGCACATGCTCCGCTGGCTCCAGTCTCGTTTTTTATTTTTTTTTACTTTTGTATAGCTATTGCCTTTTTTTTATGTGTTTTTTACTTTTTTTTTTGGTTTTTGCTTACTTACTTCGGTGCGCTGCGCTTCGGGTATGCGATGAAATGGATTCGTGGTTGCGGTTTCAGTAGAATCGATCTTGTCGCGGATGCTGCATGCTTTTTTCTCGTGTGTGCTCTCCGTTTAAGCTACGGTCTCAGTGCTTTGTGTTTATTATTTTTTGTGTTTCTTTGTGAGAGAGAAATTCTCCTAGAGTTTAAACTAATTAAAAATTGAAATAACAAACAATGAATTTGGCATAAAATTAAATAATATAGAAACAATCAAGCACGATGACCTTCCAGCAGCAACAGCAGCAACATTTGCTTCGTCGTCATAGCCATTTGGGATTGCCCCATCAGCATGCCGCAGGAGTTGTCCTTATAAAATGTAGGTAAAGTTTGCTTATAAATAATTTCAAATAATTAAATGTATTTAATTAAATTGAGAATTGAAATGTAAACAAAGCCAGCTGCTTGATAGATGAGTCAGTGCATCCCAACTAATTTAAAACATTTTTTTTTGTAGCTATTTCTATGCGTAATTGTGATTGACTCACCTGTAGCCCAATTTGTTTAGAAATCAATTTGTAAGAATAACAATTAAAATGGGACAAAGAGACTACATGTTTAGGCAGGCTTTTGTCTAATTTTTAAACTGATCTTTAAGAACTTAAATCTTATTTTTATGACTCAAATACAAATTCTATAGTTTTAAACCTTTCTGAATTAATGCTTAATTAAAAACTAAGCTGCAGGATAGGTATGAACCATAGTTGTGGGGCTTTTTTCTGACAATATTCTTTTAAAGAATTCTTGGATTACCCTTTGCCGCACTTAATATACAAATTTTTAAAAGTTTTTCAAAGTTTATCTAAGTTGTTTTCCCCTTTATTATTTGTTCACAGTTTTCTGCTCTTCACTTTTTGCATTTATTCCTAGATTCCTTTCAATTATTCATCATTGAAAGTGCAAAAAAAAGAAAGAAAAGCAAAAAGAATATGAGAGAGAAAAAAACGATTTATTATTATTGCACTTTTGTGTTATCATTTTTATTCGCATTTATTGTCCATTTCACGATTGTCGTTGGCTTTTGTGTTGAATGGGTGGATGATGTTGGAATGATGCTGTGTTGGAATGATGCTGTGTGTCTGTTGACATCTGTGGCATTAGCAGCTCGTGTTTGAGTGCGTCTAAGCACTCGTTAATCACGGTCGCCAAGGCATCTCCTCGGTGGGGTAGCTCATTTCCTACTCTTTGGTTATTATTGTCCAGAATCCGAGCAGCATAGTTCGTTAACTTAACCCACTAAAGCTCCTGTTCCTGCTCCTTCCCAAGAAATCTAAATTCAAACCCAAATCAGGTTGCAAAGTTTGTCATGTACAGCACGAAATTCGTGTAGCCTTTGCTGCATTATATATACTTACTTTTTGCTGCTTAGTGAAAGTACAACAAACAGAGTAACGTTAAAAAAAACTTACTTAATACATCTCATTTTGGAAAACACACCTGGAATGGCAACATAAATTACTGGAGAGGGAGGAAAAAATACAACAAGGAACAGCGACAACACCTTTGTAAATTTGCATAATAACAAGCACAGGAAAAAAAAACAAAATATCTTACCGACAATCGGTAAACTCGACTTATCTCAAATTATAACAAAAACCAACTAGACAATGCCGAAAAAAATTAAAAAACCATTCTGTAGTTGAGTGTATCGATTGTAGATTACCAAGGAAAAGCCAGATATAATATATATTGAAAACAAGAAGGGAAACTATCTTTGGGATGTCGAAATTTAAATACCCTTGAAATTCATAATAATTAAAGTTAAATAAATCAATCGATTATCAATATTTTTATATAACAATTTTTACGAAAAATCAAAGCTTAAAAATCGCATAACTCACTCAAAAAACCATTAATTTTAATTCGGAAAGCTGTCCCATGTTAGTTTTTACTAGGTTAATAAATCTGCATACTCCATTTTTAATTTAAAAGAATTTAAATTTTTATCAAATTTTTTGTTGAAATTTTAACGATGTAACCCCTTAAAATTTTTGAAAAAAATCAAAATTTGTTTTATCCTGTCAAAAATGCCTAGATCGATTCAGTTTTTATTGCTGATCAAGAAAATATATGATTTATAGGGTCGAAAATGACTCCTTCACTGCTTTTTAGTCTTCTGAATAAAATTATTATATAAATTTTTAGCCGATATTTATCTATATTTTATATGACAATTTTTACGGAAATCAAAGCTTAAAAATCTCATAACTCACACAAAAAATCATTAATTTTGAGGCTGTTCCATGTTAGTTTTTAAAAGGTTGATAAATCTGCGTACTTCATTTTAAATTTAAAAGAATTTAAATTTTTATCAAATTTTTTGTTGAAATTTTAACGATGTAACCCCTTAAAATTTTTGAAAAAAATCAAAATTTGTTTTCTCCTGTCAAAAATGCCTAGATCGATTCAGTTTTTAATGCTGATCAAGAATATATATGATTTATAGGGTCGAAAATGACTCCTTCACTGCTTTTTAGTCTTCTGAATAAAATTATTATATAAATTTTTAGCCGATATTTATCTATATTTTATATGACAATTTTTACGGAAATCAAAGCTTAAAAATCTCATAACTCACACAAAAAATCATTAATTTTGATTCGGAAAGCTGTTCCATGTTAGTTTTTACTAGGTTAATAAATCTACATACTCCATTTAAAATTTTTAAAAATTTAAATTTTTATCAAATTTTTTGTTGAAATTTTAACGATGTAACCCCTTAAAATTTTTGAAAAAAATCAAAATTTGTTTTCTCCTGTCAAAGATTCCTAGATCGATTCAGTTTTTAATGCTGATCAAGAATATATATGATTTATAGGGTCGA